TGAAGGCATGAAAATGGTATTTTTTAAATCCCCTATGGGTCTTTAATCTGTTTCATATGATTTATTATATTGTTTTGTTTTCTGACAGTTTCACTAACTATGTATTTCATGCTACTTTACTTCGTTCGAAGACAGAGACCGAACATTCATTATGTTGTTTGCCATACAAGTGCTAAAGACAAGTTTTTTCTGTATGGAAGGGGGTTAAATTGGACGATAAATTCGAAAACAGTAAACTGTAAATTGTTTGTATGATTCCGATTCTCTAGACATGACCAATCTGCATATACCATGTTAAGATTTTGTCAAAGAAAACCGGCAGTGTTGAATTATGTTTGTACATTTATGTGGTTGACATTAGTTAACTTATTTATTGTAACCAATGGCAGATAGCAGGGCATATCTTAGTTTTACACTCATGGAGTTTGTTTTAGTTAAAAAATTTTTAAAAAATTCAATTCCATCATCTGTCTTTATTAATTCATGTATAGGTATAACACTTTTTTCATCAAACTTCACAGATGGATAGTGAAGATTAAAATAGTTTCGGCTAATTGTAGAGGGCTTGCAGAAAAAAGTAAAAGACTTGAAATTATGAAAATTTGGCGCAAAAAGAAGTATCCTGTAATATGTCTCCAAGATATTCACATTTCTGATAAAGATAAAGACATATTTAGAAATGAATGGGGACTAAATTGCATTATAGCTCCTTTTACAACCAACTCTAGAGGAGTAGCTATTTTATTTAATAATAACACTGAAATAAAAATTCATAAAAGTTATATTGACAATAATGGGAACTATATTATATCAGATCTAACTATTGATGGGATTAAAATGACATTGACTAACCTTTATGGTCCAAATAAAGATGAACCTTCATTTTATATAAAAATATTTGAATTAATTGAAGAATTGGGAAACGAATCAATGATTTTATGTGGTGATTGGAACCTGGTTTTAAATCCATCTGTATATCTAGAAAATTATAAACATATCAATAACCCTAGTGCAAGAAAGATTATTACAGAGAAAATAGAGCAATTTGATTTAGTAGATATTTTCGAACGCTTTAAGTAAAGAGAGGGGGAGGGGATATTGGAAATTTAACACCTCACTATTGCGAAAAGAAGAGTATAGTAAGATAGTCAAGGAGACTCTAAAAGAAACATTACATGAGTATGCTGATAGCAAATATACCGAAGAGGAAATTGATTCTCATATTGAAAATTCAACATTGCAACTAAAAATTTCTAATTGTCTTTTTCTGGAAACTTTCTTAATGAAGCTAAGGGGTAAAACTATCTCTTTCTCTTCCTTTTTAAAGAAAGATAAGAACAAGAAACTAAAAGACTTGGAAGAAAATATTAGCGTTTTGGAAGATAAAATAAGAAATGATTTCCAAAATGTAGATGAAAAAATATTTTCCGATTTATCAACAATGAAAAAACAGATACCATGAAGAGGAGGTAAAAGGATCCCTAATTAGGAAAAGAATAACCTGGTATGAAGAAGGGGAGAAACCTACAAGTTATTTCTGCCACCTTGAAAATAGACATTATACCACTAAACTAATTAAGAGCATTAAAACGGAAAAGGGTGAAATCTTAGATGAATTAAAGGATTTTTATTCTAAACTATATAAACAGACCTACAATAATAATAATGTATATTTGTACTTTCTGTAAAACTGCTTCTGAAGATATGTCTCATGTATATTTCGATTGCCAATCTGTTCAACAATTTTGTTTTAAAGTTGAAAACTTCCTAAATAACAACTTGCAAACAAATTTCATCCTTTCGAAACTTAATATCTTTTTTGGAATTTCCACTCAAAACCATGTAGCAAATCATATTATTATACTAGCAAAGAGATTCTTCGACGTCCTAACACCACCTATTCACAGACGTGTCAGATTTGGGATGGGGAAATCTCACGGTACAGGGATCTTGGAACACTGGAGAAAAGAACCTTCATATCAACTGCAAGGAAATAAGGGCCATCTGTTACACCATCCTGGCATGGAAGATACGTCTCTCACAATCGTCCATCCTCATAGCCACGGACAATACCACAGAAGTGGCTTACAACCTGAAACAAGGGGGAACAAGATCCAGCTCCCTGATGACAGGGATTACACAATTGTTTGCCTTGGCAAACTCCATCAAGTGCCGGATGGAAGCAAGACACATACCTAGGAAACTGAACATATTTACCGAGAGCTTTTTGAGAATAGTGGCAACAGAATGGAACTTACATCTACAGATCTTTGTTTGTATAACCACACACCAGACCTGGATCTATTTGCCACCTGCCAGAACCATCAACTTCCCGTTTATATCAGTCCAATTCCCGACCCAAGAGCTCATATGATCTATGCACTATTGATGGACTGGACGGGTCTATTTGCATACTCATTCCTTGACAATGTCATCCACAAGGTGGAGGCGACGGATTGCATAATAATCCTGATAGCACCAATATGGCCCAGCAGAGCGTTGTTCCCCAGATTACTAAGACTACTAATGGAAGAACCTATCCAGTTACCTCTGCGTTGAGTTCTGTTATGACAACCCAAGTCCAAGCATTTTCCACAATAATCTGTCCAGCCTACATCTAACCGCCTGGAAGTTATCACGCAGAAAATGCAGAAATCTGGATACTCTGAGCTTGCCCCAGAAGCTGTGGCAAGATCATGGAGACCTTCATCCTCCCTTATATATGACAACAGATGGGACAAGTTCAAGAGGGGGGGCGTGCGAGGATCCGACACCAGCATCAGAAGGTGAGTACACCCTTGATTATTCTGTCTATTAGGTGTCAGATGGATTAGGAGCACCTTGAGTACCAACTGCCTGAAGTGACCAGAAGTGATGTCATCACTGGAAGTGATGTCAGCACCAGAAGTGACATCAGCACCGGAAATAGCAGTACAAGGTCCATCTGATCAGCAAATGACATTTTTTGTAGAAATGGACCTTGAGAGACGTCATTATCCAATGAAAGGGAAGTGTCAAACCGAAAGTTGTGTCACACCCGGAAGTGGTGTCACAACCGGAAGTGACATCGGCACCAGAAGTGACAACAGCACCGGTATTAGTGTCACAAACCAAATTTAACAAGAAATGACGTCATTGGGTAGAAATAGACCAGAAATGATATCATTATTACTAACAAGATCAGCAAATATAATGGTAATTATAGTGAAGGTATCACATATTTGACCGATTCTTGAGACATTCTGATTTTCAAGTCCTCAGGGGGGAAATTTCAGAGGAAATTCTCGCGAGTCAGGATTAGAATCAGTTAATAATGATTTCCAGAAGAGGATAACTGTCAATTACACAGGGAGTTACTAAAGGCAGATCCCACCAGGTCCCTCTTGTATATTCTGGCAAAGATGTAATAGAGGTAGAGGATTCACAAGAATTATCGAACAATAGTTATCATTGTTAATAATTCTAAGAATACTTCCTCTATTACATCAGAAGTACTCCCACGCACCTCCCCAACTGATCTACCTCCAGTAGATAGATGTGGGAAAAAAGTGAGGTTCCCACCATTGCATATGTCATAGCTTGGGTGGTTATGATGCTATTTGGGAACAACTAATTGTGTGTGATTGACAGTGAAGAGGACATCTGTTGAAAGTCTGAAAATTTTAGTTAGTGTGACTGAAGCCAAAATACAGGATTTATGGCAGAGATGTAATAGAGGTAGTATTCTAAGAATTATTAGCAATTATAACTATTGTTCGATATTGGCACTGAACACATCAAAATCTCGCTGGTGTTAGGGTAGGTTACCCACGAACTCTAACCTTGGATCCCCTTGGATCCCTTTTTACAATCAATCACCCCTTTACGATCATTAGGGTTAGGTACCCATTTAATGGCTATTAGATTACCCCGAACTCAATCCTCAGCCCTTGGGTCCCCTTTACAATCATTAGGGTTTGGTACCTGTTTAGTGGCTATTATTGATTTTATTGCTGCTCCTATTATTCTTCACACAAAACCATCGAGAGAAAAAAGGACAAAATGGTTTAGTGTCAAATATTTTGGCTACTGGAAACTGTCCAGGAACATTCACACAAGCCACTTTCACCTGCTACATTTATTTAGTACTGATTCAAAAGCAAACTCACCCTTGTGTCATCACTAGCCAGTCTGTCACCTATTCTACCCTTTTCGTTCACTTCCGTAACGGTGTAGGCATGACTAGGTAAATTTGCACTTAGTTTCACAGTGTGGATGTAGCTCAGTCGGTTAGCTGTCAGGCTAACAATCCGAAGGTCGCGAGTTCACATCCGACAGATTGTCATAAAATATTGGTTGCTGTCTTTGACACATGTGACCTACAGAAGAGATCCTCCTCACTAGAAGCTGTGGCACTGTATTCTAAAGGTGCTCGTATTTGATAAATGGCAGGACCAGCCTGGGCCACTATGAGGGCAACTTAACTGCATAAAAGTACTGAGATAAAATAATTATGCAGCCACATATTTCCATTATGCAAAATGCCAATGCCATATTCAGCACAATGATGCCAGACACAACAGAGCATTAATAGCAACATCGTACCTACACAACAACATTCAGGTCCTGCCCTCATCCTATCGAAAGAGTTGGATAGATGAGTGTCAACCACAGCACTACAGGCCGACTCTGACACCCTTCCCCAACATCTCCTTCGAACCAAGCAGTCAAGCAGTTCTTGACTCCCAGTGTCAGCACATGTGATGCTGACTGCAGAAGGCCTTGATGTTACGTTTGACATGTCAACAATCAGCAGCTTGTGTCAGCTGTGGTAGCATGTGTCAAATGAGAACATCCAGCTGCTTTCTGTTGAGCCATTAAATGAATTAATCAAATATCACCAAACTATGCATTTGCATCATATTGATTGTGTTAATAAGAACACTGGCCCGCCATGATAAACAACTTCTCAGGCACTATTAATGACATGAGCAGAGACAAATTAGTATACTTGTACAGACCTCAGGTAGAATTCGTGGTGATCCTGATTTCAGCTTTGGATCCTTATTGGGCTTCACATCTTGCACATGTTGGTCAATAAGTGGAGTGAAGTTAGTATTTACTTGTGGCTGTGGTATCCAGGAAACAGACCTTGGATAAAAAAATAACAACTATTGAAAATGAAAAGTTCAAAGTAACATAGCACAAACGAAGTAAATCTATTCTTATAAATAAGCATTGTCAACAAACTTCTGGAAAATTCTCTTTTTTGTGTGAAACAAAATAAGAGCAATATGTACATATGGGCAGGTTGTTTAACCTTTTTTAGAACTTCAATGATCACCTATTCACACAGAGAGTTGTAAATATACACTTAATTAGAGATGTCACGATTCACCAGTACATTGGGGCATCGATAACATTCTCAGACTTACGATATGCGATACAAACTTACCTATATCAATTCATATTTTAATCCTGTATCATATCACACACAGAACAATTAAAACAGTAATGATAAAAAACTTTGTTGGTTACAATAAACATTATAAAATAAACAATTTTATCATTATTAATTTATGCTTTGTCTACAATGTACATATTTTCAAGACTTAAATTCTGTTTTGCCTGGTGTTGTCACTTCTGTTTCATGTGAAATTTGAATTAAATTGACTGAAATGAGACACATATATTTTCAAATATGAGACTAGATATTCAGTTTGAAACCTTTTCTTGTGTTTTATGCCCTGTGAAATATAAGAATTAACTCAAAATTTCCACAAATAAATCCTATGTATTGATTTTGGGAGAAAGTCATATCGTGACATCCCTACAATTGATGTGTATTCCTTGCAAATGATGATGATGAACTAGACACCTTAACTTTAAACTCAACAATTTCAGTAATGTCAAGCTCAAAGTAACAAGCACCCACAAACGTATGCAAAGATGCACACACAGCCTTGAATTTTTCTCTTGAACTGCCTCCATAACGCATACAAAATTTTAACACAATCAGGCAACTGAGCGGACGAGATGTGGTTCTTTCACAATGGTGTGGCTGTAGATGACACAAACAATGATAGTTTCAATACCACTAGGTCTGAGCAAATGAATGAATGAATGAATGAATGAATGAATGAATGAATGAATGAATGAATGAATGAACTAGCACTAAATGAATCGAGTTTACTGCCATACCCGCGGAAAACTCAAACGCAGCCAAAGACAGGAATCCCAGCCCCGCTTTAGATGGGAAACCCAGCTGCCATTGGGAGTCAGGAGCTTGGGTCACCTTGGGTAGCACATGACGCAGACAGATCTGCCCAAGACGGTAACACCCGCTCCACACAAAGGACTGGCGGGCAGATGGGGGCGTCAGGAGCACAATCTCTGTAGTGCAGCATATCGTCAATACGAAATTGGCGTGTGACAGATTGTCATGGGGGGGTTTCTCACCTCTACCATGTTCAAATCCACAATTTGTTTGCTTTTACCAATACCGCCAAAAGTTAAGCACCGTAGCAAATGGGAAATTGGGAAACAAAAGACATGCATCAACCAAGTCAACGAGCCTGACAACCCGATCCTGTTAGTCGCATCTTACGACAAGCATAGTCGCCTCTTAAGACAAGCATGGGTTGCTGAAGACTAACCCTGATCTTCAAGGGTAGTATACATAATGCTGAAGACATTTGTGACAAGACTGTGTATTGGTGTTGGGTTTCTGCAAAGCCACTGAATGGGGTTTTTCAAATATTTCTGGGGTGCTTCCTTCAGTATTTGAACTCAAATCTGGTTTCTCACTTAAATCAAATATTGCCACCAAGCGGGGTGTTACTTTTAAGCAACCAAGAGCCAAAAATTGGGTCCACATGGCACGATAACTTCATGCAAACTTTCAATACTTTTTGTGAAGAAACTTACAAGTTTCTAAAGTACAATTTCTGACAGAAAAACGATCAAAATCCAATATGTATGGAGACAATTCTCAAAAAGTTTGAAAATTCAGTAGGTTCAAAGGAGTAAGTATTTGAAGACATGTACCCCAAAAACTCAGTGGTTGGTTGGTTTGTTGTTTAACGCCGCACTCAGCAATATTCCAGCTATATAACGGCGGTCTGTAAATAATAGAGTCTGGACCAGACAATCCAGTGATTGATATCATGAGCATCAATCCTCTTATGACATGCATCAACCAAGACAGCGTGCCTGACCACCCGATCCCATTAGTCGCCTTTTACGACAGGCATAGTCACCTTTTACGGCAAGCATGGGTTGCTGAAGACCCTATTCTACCCCGGAATCTTCAAGGGTCCAAAAACTCAGTGAAAACGTGAAATGTGCTTAACAATTTTTGTTCTTTGACTTTTGGTCATTCATCAAGTGGTTTGGCAGCCATATTGGATTCAAAAACTCAGTGAAAACCTTGAATCCAATATGGCTGCCAAACCACATGATTGAGTTGGGTTTAACGCCGCTTTTAACAGTATTCCAGTAATATCACGGCGTGTCAGCTCAATGTGGGAGGAAAGCCCGAAGTGATGTAGGTCTCAAACGTTTACCACTTCGGTGAAACCCACGAGCACAGGTATGGTGCTGACAAACCTAGAAACATAATGGGGGTGAACGGGGATTCGAACCCACAATCATAGGTTACTGGCGTGCCCAAGGGACGCAACTCTGCACAGCGAATCGCGGCGCCTAAGACGACTGGGCCACCCGTGCCCCCCCAAACCATGTGATGAATGACCAAAGTTAAAGAACACAAATTGTTAAGCACCTAAACCAGCAGACACATGCAAAATTTGAAAGGAATCGGAGTAGCGGTTGCCGAGCAATAGGGCAAAATTACTTGTTTTTTGGTTATCCTACCTTGGCCATTGGTCCTACAACCTTTGGATTTTTGTGGTATCTGCTTCAGGACTTTGGGTACTTTGGTGCAAATACTAAGGTGTTGGTTCTTGAGTTATGATTTATGATTGGAACAAAAAACAACTAATTATAATGATACTAAAGAATAAATATAGTTGCAAGTAACTATCTAGGGCTCCGTTCTAAAATAGGTTATACAGAGAATTAAAACATGAAACCGAGTTTTTAATGGCCCTAGGTTATTCTTCCCCTTCTGAAGGCGGGGGAGTATAAGAATTAGGGTTTTTTTGCATGTAGGAGAGTGCCATTTTGTTTCACTGAAAAGTTTAGAGTTTTTAAAATGAAATGAGAATGACTTAATCTGGGCATGTTTTAACCAATCGCCTGTCACATTCTTAGACTTAGTTACGTTTTGTATAAAGCAGAAAACCTATGCAACTTGTTCATTTTGTTTTTAAAAGATCTCAAAATGTTAAGGGGAAACATATATCTCAATTTGCTGAAGTTAACTGGTCTATATTTTGTAAGAATAAACTATTGCGCATTGAGCGATTATCTCCTTTAGCTATATGCGTAGTACAGAGCTTTATCACTCACTGACCTTGCAATGCTGTATATCATATCTTATTCAAGCTGTATCACTGAGAGTGAGTGATTATCTCCCTTACCCGAACAGCACTTGTGCGCACTCCCTTTGCAATGTATCGTATGTTATTCAGGCAGCCTTTGAGAAAGGTTCCAGGGAGGAATTTAGGTCAAGCCTGTAACATGCAATCAATCTATCTCCCTTCACACTGCAATTGCAACTCATTGTTCATCACAATTAAATACCAGGCTTCTACAAAGCATGACTTTGTTCAATAAACAAATAATGTAAAACAACAGGTTTGATATGAAAAATTTGTAACAAGAAAGAAGTGAGCAAAGCTCACATACCCCCGTTATCCCCGCTGGTCAACAACAAATAGTAAATAGTTTGTTAATTAATGAAATGTACCTGTTGCTTTAAGTCAGAGGAACTGCCCTTTCCTTTGTAACCCCATGAGGATGCATTATGTTTGAAATGAACACGTTTTTGCAAATATATTTCAATCTAGTGTGGTGATAATCAATGCTTAGCACAACATACCCCGGTACATTCTTTGAATCCTTTGATACTGGAAATTAACTACAAAGCATGATGTATACTTATTATACATTAAATGAAAAAGAGCAAAAGAGAAAATTTTCAGAATCTTATAAAAGGTAAAAAAAACAATCATAGTGGTTAATGTAGCAAGTTTGCTGAAGCTAGGATACATAATATTGTAAACATGGATCGTACAAAAACTCTACCCAAAATTTATGTTTCACCATGATTCTATTGAAACCGCAAAAATAAAAAAAGTTCAGAATCTTCAAACTAGCAAAAGGCACAAGTACTCATTGTGGTAAATGTGTGTCACAAGCAAGCTTGATGAAGCTAGGATGCATAGTTAAAAAGATATGGGCCGTACAAAACACCCACCCTAAAAGTTTAAGTTTCTTAATGTGTCCAAGGAAACAGCAACAATTAAAAAATTCAGAATCTTCAAACTAGCAAAAGTCACAAGTACTCATTGTGGTTAATGTGCGTAGAAAGTTTGGTGAAGCTAGGGTGCATAGTTAAAAAGATATAGGCCGTACAAAAGCTTGGACGGAAGGACGAACAGATGGAACGCTATATACACCCGATTTACTTCGTAAACGGGGGTATAATTAGTTGTCTTCATAATCACATGTAGGGCACTTGCTGTGCATAGTTGAGCACAGTATTGTTTCAAGTAGTTTACTGTATGTGATGTATGATTCATACCGTTTCATGTGGCGGTTTACAGTTCTGCATGGTTTATTGCTTTGACAGTTTTTTTAACTTCCGGCAGAGATTATACACCCGTATATGTTCTTTGCTTCTGGATATAGAGGAAATCAACAGGTTGGTCTGTAGTTTGCAATTATTTTCCTAAAATATAATACAGTTGCATGATATATTCAGGATATTTGGGTTGAACAAAGTAACATTCTTCTAAACATACTTCAAATCTAAACCAGAAGTAATCACAACACAAACCCAGCTAACCAAATGGAACCGTACACAAGAGTGAGTGAGGGAGTTGGGTTAAACGCTATTTTGAAAAGTATTCCACTTATATCATTGCATGTCTGCTTGTTAGAGGAAAGCCCGAAGTGATGCAGTGAACAGGACTTATTTGTAAATTTTACTGTCGCTTCTGAAAATGTTTGCAGTGTTGTTGAAT